TGGGGTATATCATTATCAGAAATGGTTGCATGTGAAAATGATTTAAATGTATAATTAGTGTGCTTTTTTCATTTGTGTGTAAATAATTACAGACACATTATTATTAAAATTAAATAGYGGTTGGTTGCGTCATATAGTTTGGGTGGATTTTGCAGAGTAAATTTGAATGAAGACGCAGTTGCTGATCCAGACCAGGTTGCCCATGAGGTCGCTGCTCTCGTTCACATGTTAGTTTCCCTCTTTCTACATGAAACTGCTGTGTCTAGTCAATGCATTTATTTCAATTCCTTTAGAATTTTTTTTAATCCTGAATAGTAGTAGTGATAGAAACATATAAAGATAATTTATTGAGTAAAAAGTTCACTAAATGCTCCGCTAATATAGTTTAAATCCGTCTAATTTAGAATCATATGGGTAATTAATGGGTTTGTGTTATGGTATTGGTCGTGTGGGGAATGTGGACTTTCAGTTTCAGGAGTAACAACAAAAACTTTCTCATGTTTCTTTATTTTATTTTCACGTGTGAAGAAACAATTTTTCTGTCACAGACTTTCCTTGAGTCATTAATTTCGTCTTGAATCGACCCTGAAACTCCCTCCTCAAATCCTTATCAGTTTGCTACAGACATTAATTTGGTGATTTTATATTTCAATATGTAACACTATGATTCATGAGCAGGAGATTTTGAGAAAATTGATTTGCCAAATATTTGATTTACAGGAGCGAACAGAACATAACCAAAAGGAGGAAGCTTGGCTTCTTTTCATGTGGAAATGGAAATCCAATTGATGACTGTTGGCGTTGTGACCGTAACTGGCACAAGAACCGTAAACGCCTCGCCGAATGTGGGATAGGTTTTGGTCGTAACGCCATTGGTGGTCGTGATGGACGTTTCTATGTCGTCACTGATCCAACCGACGACGACGTTATCAATCCCAAACCCGGAACTTTACGCCACGCCGTTATCCAACTTGAGCCACTCTGGATCGTCTTCAAAAGAGACATGGTGATCAAACTGAAACAAGAGCTGATCATGAACAGTTTCAAGACCATTGATGCTCGTGGTACCAATGTCCATATCGCCAATGGTGCTTGCATCACCATACAGTTTATTACAAACGTCATCATTCATGGCTTGCATATTCACGATTGCAAGAGAACAGGGAATGCAATGGTCAGAGACTCGCCGTCTCACTTCGGGTGGAGGACAATGGCTGATGGTGATGCTGTCTCTATATTTGGGTCAAGTCATATTTGGATTGACCACAACTCTCTGTCTAGCTGTGCTGATGGTCTTGTTGATGTTGTCATGGGTTCCACTGCCATTACCATTTCCAATAACCATTTAACTCACCACAATGAGGTCATGTTGCTAGGCCACTCTGACTCGCATAGGCAAGACAAGCTGATGCAAGTGACCATTGCATACAACCATTTTGGAGAAGGACTTATTCAGAGAATGCCAAGGTAAATCTACAATGTCACATTGTCTTGAGTGAGGCAGTACTAGTAGATATCTGTATACGATTGATTAGCTGAGATTCCATGTAACATAGCTTGGAACTGAATATTGCAGGTGCAGGCATGGATATTTCCATGTGGTCAACAACGATTACACACACTGGGAAATGTATGCGATTGGAGGAAGCGCAAACCCAACTATAAACAGTCAAGGCAATAGATATGCTGCTCCCAAGAACCGCTCTGCTAAGGAGGTTCAATTCTTTTGTGTTTTTCTCTTGCTTTTATCTCATAATAAATAGAGATTCTAAATCCAAAAGATGGAAATGGACAGGTGACAAAAAGGGTGAAGACAGAAACAAGTGAGTGGAAGAAATGGAATTGGAGATCAGAAGGAGACCTTCTAGTGAATGGAGCGTTTTTCATACCATCAGGGGAAGGAGCATCAGCGAGCTATGCACGTGCCTCAAGCTTAGCAGCTAAACCAGCCTCCATGGTTGACTCAATCACTTCTACTGCAGGTGCACTTGGTTGCCGCAGAGGAAAACTTTGCTAGCTATATCACTCTCTATCTACTAGTTTCAGAGTATACAAAAGCCTAACCCCTTTCGCACGTATAGCTTTTTTTATTTTTCTTTTTACATGATAGAGAATTTGGTTAACCTCGGCTTTCTTTTCTCCTTGACAAGAGGAGCAAGCAGAAGAAGCGTTGATCCATTCTGGTTTTGGGGTTAATGAGGTCTTATTTTTAACCAATCACCCCCACTTCTCGGCTTGGTTTTGGTTTTTAGTTAGTGATTGTAGAAAGAATACATTCACTATGAAATACAGTTGAATGCTTATGATGTGCGCAGCTAAATATTAGTAGTTGATTGTTCTGTCACTTTCTATTCCATGTCTTATTCACAATTTTACTGTATGTGTTTGCAATTGGGCGGAGTAAATTAGTCTCTTATGCATTGTCAAGTTTGTGAGATGAGGAAGCGTAATTGTAGGATTGTTCTGTTGTTAAACATGCCAACATAAGCTCAATTTACCAACATGGGGTAGAAAATGAACCAACAATGGTTTAAATTAAACCATTGTTGAATTCCATTTTAACAAAGCTAGATTACTTGTAAATCAATTTGGTGCTCTTTGAGGAAACTAGTTGGCTCTATACACAAGCAAGTAATGAACCACAAGAAATCAACCATTACAAGAAAACAACTTGATACCCTGCCTATACTTGCTAGTTGCTTCAATTTCCTATCTCAATGTTTTATAATTTGCCATCATTTTCCACTAAAGTGATCTCATAGCAGCAAGTAGCAAGACAAGCTTTATCTTACCAAATTATCATCAGGCACTGCAAAACAAAAAGTGTCCACCAGAAGAACTTACAACAAAACAAGAAGATAAGAACTTACAACAAAACAAGAAGATACAAAAACACAACCAAACACATTTTTTTTTAACATATCTTTATTTATATGTAGAATCCAATATTACATAATACATGTGAAAAATAAGAAAATTAAAACAAATTGCATAAATAAACTTTTKAAATACAAAGAAAGTGATTTTAAACGATGTTTTTTTTCTTTTCTGAAAAGCCTTACTCGCAAATAGAGTATCAACTCTATTATTATTCTTCCACAAATTCATTTCAACCTGAGGTGATCTTCATCTTTGGCTATCGCCAATACAAAAATGTGTTCGGTCGCCAATACAAAAATGTCTTCAGTAACACCAAATTTCTTTGTTGTATTACATTGGCCAACTCCCGAATCAGAGCGATAAATATTATTCGATAAAGAACCCAATATATTGATTCTTCCAAAAACAAGCAAAAACATTTATCAAATCGTAGGGAGAGTTTGAGAGAGTTTAGAAGAAATTGAATTGTGTTGTAACTGATAGGCGTAATATTTACTTGTTAAACCAATGGACCCTACAACAAAAGAAGCTAGTGGGCCTCGACTCGTTACAATATGGGCCTGTCATCAGCCCATTATATTTTGCCTTCCGGCTAATTATTGGTCTAAAGTGCATCCCCACACACTAATTCTTAACCTGGTATTAAAACTCAGGGTCCATGACTATATCTGATCTTCTCTTAAAATAAGCTAAAGGTATTTGAATCCAAGGTTAGATTGATTCCGTCAAAAGTGAATTAGTACGTGTCGTTTTCAAAATACTAAAACAGTTTATATAATCTTAAACAGAAAGTTAAGTATAATCTTTAATTACTTACCCTAAATTTAAAATTGAGGGAGTAAGTGGTATTATACGTTAAAAAAAGAAAAGAACATTTTGGGAAAATAAACAAAAACATGGAGAGATTCCACAAAAGAGACTCCCGAGGCAAAGACCCTTGAAACAAGGCAACCACTTCTTATTTCTTTATACCTAAAACTGCGCCGTTTAACCTTTCTTCCGCTCTTTTTCCTTTATTTTTTATTTTTGTTTACTTGTAATAATGGCTCATGGTGCGCTAATTAATTATACATTTTGCTTAATTAACTTAATCTTTCCAAAAGTATGGAAGAAATAGAGAAATATATCAATGTCTATCATGTGCCGGTAAATAAAACATATTTGTCCCTGTACTCCAGAAAAAAAAATCATATATAGTTCATCATTTGCATTTATATGTAAGTAAACTATGAACATAATTAGGGTTAAAAAATGTGACCAATGATTTT